AAAAAAAAATGTTTACAATTTTCTACTAGACAATTACGGGAATTTTATATGCTGATCTAGTAATTAAAAACTGATATACATTGAAACCTGGTTAAATGAACTCAAATAAAATTGTTTTACAGAAATATATAAAAGGCAGCGCATATGCTTTATTAAACAATCACCTACAAATATTAACAAATATTTTTTTTTTAAAACTAAAATTTCGATGAATAAATTTAACAGAAACTAAAGAACAAGCAAATGCATCTGCTCAAAAAGCATGAAATTTTAGCAAAAATGCAGCATCCGAAAAGGCTGCTGTAGCTTAGATGAAATGAACAGTGAAGGTATGTTTGGTTGCCGTCAATTGCTTGCCTGTTTTAAACTGTTTTTCCGCCTTTCTCCACCACTAAGCATGAAAAACCAAAAAATTTGTTGAGTTGATAAGATGGTTTTGTAGTCCAATAGGAACCTTTCATTTTTTTTGAAATTATTGTATCAAAACATAGCTTTTTCAATGCAACAATGCCAATCTTCTCCTTAACTTATATGTTACCCACCTCCTACCACTTTTTGTGCCGTGTGATGCTACTGAAGAAAAAAAAACCATTTTTGTTTCATTATTTAGAAATTACTTATCAATGACAAACTGCAAATTAAAAAACAAAAAAAAAAAATTAATAACCCTTATAATAAGTATAATAATAATAATATTGATAAATGTAACATCTAACAAAAGTAAACAAATTTTCTACTTTTTTCTCGAGAAGCAGTACAACTTTTTCAAAGCTGTCGCAGCATCAAAAAAGCGTTTTCACATTTCATGCGTAAATCACAGTCAAAATTTTGGTAGCTCTATCTTCCTATGAACAAACAAATAGCACCCATTTATACGGCAATTTTATGTTCGCCTTCTTGTCACTATTCAATCTAAACAGTGCAAAATAATTTTTAAAAAAAAAAGACAAAAGTAGATAATTCTTTTTTGTCTTATTATCATGTTTAATAACAGCAAAAGATAATATGACAGTTGACAAGTATGACAGCTTTGAAGTTCTGACTTAGTCACTGAGTTTCTTGCAGAATCATAAAACTTTTATTAGGCTCTGCACAAATTGAAACGCAAATTTTTAAAATATACAAAAAATTACACAGAAAGACGTTCCAAGTAATTTTTTTCTTTAATACCCAGAATTATTTAACAATACAAATAACATAACCAGGGGTGAAAATACCAACCTTAGCTAGAAAACAGGTAAATATCAAAAATTTACTAAATCCTCTAAAAATTTATTAAAATTTAGAGATCGGTCGTGATAAAAAAAGGAAAATTCATATCTCTCTCCTCACATCCCATTTCTGCTTCCTCCACTGTAATTTTTTTTGAAAGGTCATTCATATAAAACAAAAAGGAGCAGTTTTCTTAATATTTTTCATTTCCTTTTAAAGTATATAAGTTGACTGCTGCAGCTAGCCAAAAACTAGATGGTACACTTGAAGGTTGCTTTTGGTGACTGTCGCGACCATACGCGAAAGGTAAAACATTTTTTTGCGATTTATCGTTGCCAGAAGAAATATTTGGTCAAGTTTCACTAAGTACAATCAATTTTTTCTTTAGAATGTTCTCCATTTTGAACGGTGATTCTCAATAGGTTGCAAAAAAAAACCTGCCAGTATCAGCAGGCTCAGCAACAAGTCGGCTGTATTCAGGATAGCTGCGAAGTGCCTACAAAATCCGTCAATTTTGAATCTGTCCCCTGTCAAAGTGCCGTTGTAGGTATGAAATATGTGTCTTGTGAGGATGAATGTCAATGTCTGTTTAGTTGCTGATAGAGACAATGTCAGATTTTATAAATCTTTTCACCTCATAAGCTCTAAGCGTGATTTACAACAGCACGCGTAATCAATGAGCCCGACAGTACACCAGAAGATTGGTGTAGAGGTTTTTTAGCTGGCAACACCATTTTGTACAAATAACGATAATCATTTTAAGATCATAAAATAATATATATTCATTCATTCACTGATATTCATTCATAGTATTCATATTCATTCATAGTATTCATTCACTGAACTATCGCAATAAAAAATGACACGATAGGAAAAAAAAAAAGTGAAGGGAAAATTCAAAACTTCTAATGGCGACAAATGAAAGTAACTGCCGGAAACCATCTTCAAAGTTCGGCACCATATTACCATTCGATTCGTCCAGCGGGCAGAAAGTATTTAGCTGCCAAAAAAAAGGACAAAAAAAATCGCTGCCGACCGTTGATGGTAACGGCATTCGTTTCACCGATTACAACAATTTCCGGCTGTATCCAACCCTTAATATTCCAATTTTTTTTGCCCATAATTCTTAGGAACATAGTAAAACAGTTGTTTTCTACTGCTCCACTTAATTCGACCGATCCTTGGCGTATCATGTGCATATATTCTAAGTATTGCCACTGTTGTTCTATATAAGGGAGGTTGGCAGAAATTTTTGCATCAAATAACTTTACAAATTCTAATACGTAACCATCCTTTTCCTCGTTTTTATTTATTTATTTTTTTTACGGATATGCGAAAATGAGTTTGGCAATCAGACAAATTTGTTAGCCAAAGCGGTAATAGCAGCAATACCTGGTTGTAGACGTATCCGAATAATTATGCTACATTTGAAAACGTACTATAATTTGTACTTTAATTTGATAATTTTTCATGATTTTTCAACCGTAAACTGTGACTGATGGTAATCCAACAATTTACAATTTGAAAGTTTTTAATGGATTTCTGTGTAGCTTACTCAAGCTGCCTGATATATCACTGATGTTGTGTCTGTAGTAGATTATGTCTTTTTATTCTTTTAAAATAATTTTTTTCAGGTGATATGAGTGTTCGGTTTCCGTTAGGTAAATTTTCCACATGGCATCAGTTGAGGCAAAAAAACAGTGTAATAAATTATCCGTTGAAAGAACAGATTTGTCGCATAATGCAACGTTGGGAAGATTTTTTTGGTATAACAGCTGTACGACTGGCGCAAGAAGAAGTTATCAATGTAAGATTTCCTTCTTGTCTTTTTTTCAAAGTAGTATTGGCAAAAAGCAAGGTTTCGTGTGTGAAAACCGCTGGTTTCCAGTGTGAGAATCGCCTAACAGAGGCGCAAAAAAATCGCCGAGCAAAACAAATGGAACTAAAAAAACTGCAGAACCATTTGAAGGATATTCATGCAGAATTGGACCGGACGTCGCGTGGAGATGACCGGTAAGCATCATGTAAGGTAGTTTGTATTCGTTGAGTTAGCTGTATTATGGAAATGATATTATCAGTGTTCTTTTCGAAAGAATTGAAATTGCTATTGATTATTCAAACCACAAATGGAACAAAGATAGTTGACTGGTTTTCTACCTAAAATGTGCTGTCTAAGTTTTCTCTTGTCGGATTTTTCATCTATTAACTTTAAGGTTTTTACATCTTTTAACGGAAGAACACGCCACAATAAAAAAAGAAAGAGTATTGCTAGCAGAGTTTGAGGAAGCAGAAACAGCGGAAAGAGACACTTTCCAAGCACTTTCAAGGCGAGTCAGAAGCAGCCATGAGAAGGAACGTGAAAGGTAAGTTGACCATTTTATTTAGCTTTCATTTGACGCAGCTTTCTATGTCTTGTATCAGTCCTTATATAGAGTTGAGAAAAACAAATATTTGTCGCTGTGGGCAACTATCACGGGAGCTGTATTCGGCGTTGTCGGAACAACACTTGCAGCTGAAGTAAGAGCGAGACGACTGAAAGATTTGATACCTACTGCAGCTCAGGTTACTCCTGTGTTAGAGCAGGTTCGCGATCATGTCGAAAAGCAACATTTGCAGGTAAAAGTTTACTGCTTTTTTATGTTTCAAAGCTAAAGATGAACGCTTTCTCGTTTTTTTTCCTTTGCTGGGATTGCAGTCACCTATAAATGAAAACTTTTTATTAATAATGTGTTCTTTATGTATATTGTAGGTCGTTACATTTATAAATGATTTGCGGGCGCTAATGAATGCTGGGAAGGTGAGTGAGATCCAACAAACTTTGGCTTCAAGTGCCAATCACGGGACTTCGTACGAAAAACTTGTTTCTTCGATGGAGGAGCAAAATGCTATTCTTTCAAAGGAAATGGATGAACTGAAAAAGATAATCGCTGTGGATCGATACAAGGACGGCGATTCCAAAGATGTTGTCTACGTTGGTAGCGACATGCAACTCCTCTTGAACCGTACAGAAAAGAACTTGGAGTCGAAGATGAAACTGCAAACTTTGTTATCAGTTGTTTTCATATATGCGGCAGCTGTTGTCACTGTTCCCTTAGTTTTAGCGATATTTAAGGCAAACTAGTCACTTCGTATGAAACCCATTTTGGCTTAAAATTTTTTTCACGACGTTATTTGTTAATTAATTCAATCTAGTAATTTAATGTAGTTTCCTAGTAGTAAGTTACTAACTTGAGCTCCCAAAATTTGTTTCTACAAATACTGTTAGGTACCACATTTGTGTACCCTTGTTTGGGACGGGTCAGCCACCAGACTGAGAATTTTAGCATTTCAGTGGGGCAGTGCTTAAAATTACCGAGATACATGCGTTGTTCTAAGACTTGTTTTAGTCGCTTCGTTTCAAACTTCATTTGGTTCTTTAAAACTTTATCCAGACCCTGGTTTGACCATGACTGGAATTGTAGTCAGAAATGTCTAGATTAATAACCCAATTTTTAATGATGTTTCCAGTTTTAACTACGAACAACGTGCTGGAAATGCACTTCTTCACTTCAATTGTCGGTGTTGTACAGGTCTCAAATTTCACGACAACTCGTACTGTTCCTGATTGTGTACATAACTAACTTCTGTTCTCGAGGCTGAATTGTTGAGTTAACACTCCTTCCTTTCCAATGAGAACTACACTTCATGGACGTGGACGCTAACCGGCTCTGTTTCAGACTGGTGGCAAGATCTCACTTACCGGTCTTAATGAAACACAGCCACATTCCTCAGAACCAGAATTTGTTGGTTTGGTTGGTTAAAAGTAAAATGGGACCACCAAAGTAAAAGAGCTCCCGATAACCACCCCTGCTTCGAGAACAGTGACATTTTTCTCGCATGTCTGAAGTCCAAAATTTCTTCTAGCGCGGTTCTTAGTACAACTGCTTGAGAAACCTATGTACCATTCGTGAAGAAAAATCGGGACATTATTTCAAAACGGTAGTGCATTAGTCGTGGCTATTTGGTAAGATGTGTGCGGTAGTCAAATTGCGATCCAGTTATCCTTAATATTTCATCGGTCTTACAAACTTCCGACACGGGCAACAGGGTAAGCAACAACACAAACAAAAACCCAAAGCACTATAGGTTAATCTCCATTTTCCGAAAATTTGAAAACAACGAAAACAAATCCAAGTACAAAAGCATAACATTCATGTCAAAATAAAACGAAGCACTCGGTATTTGTGCTTGCAAAACTCACCGGAAAAATAAATGCTTTTAAGATATTCCCTTCTAAGGTATTCAACAGCCCAGATTTACAGACATATGGTTGGTATCTTCTGTAAAATAAGGTCTTAGAAGTCTGATGAAAAATGGACTAATAATCACCTAAGCTTACACGATGCGAGCGACATCTAGGAGCTGAAATGCGGAACACAATTATCGTAGGAGTAATCAGTAATCATCGCCACGCGATACCACTTCTTTGCAAGTAGGACGTAAAAGTATTGTATGTTCCCACTGTGCAGTGTAACAACCTTTCACATCACAGAGTGGTGGATATGCTTGGACCACTCCTTTATCACACAAGTCTTTGAGTGCCATCACGTACTTCGATTCACCCAGACGGTCCAGCCAACGACGGCAAAATGCTAACGTTCCAAAGTGTTTGTTTATTGTGTTCAGTAAAGCTTTTGATCTCGCCAGCCTAGAATTTTGACTTTTACACTAATAACTTAGGGACCTAAATTAACCTTTACCTGAGATTTACACGTTCATTGTGAAGGTCATAATCTAACATGTAATGGCTGCACTCCATATCGTCATGGACGTAACCTTTTCCTGTGCTCCCGAAAGTTTCAATTGCATAAAATTCATTTTCTTCCATTTTTGTCTGTTCGCCACCCTGTAAAGTTACTTATTTGTATCTCCTGTTTCCTAACTGCAGTTTGAAACAATAATTTGCGTACTCTTAAAAGCAAAAATAACCTTTACAATTGGCACCGTTTTCCCTGCATGTATGCGATAATGACCAAGAGAATGCCCATTCAAATTCCTGATAGGCTTAACTACGTAGGTTTTACCATCCAGCTCAATCTGTAAATTTCACTGTACTAGATGAAAATAAAAGATCACTTTTAATAATAACTTATATTTAGTTTTTTTAGCAAAGAAACAACCAGGAACCTCGTGACTAGTCATCACTTCTTCAACGGTTTCTCCTATATCACATAAACGAACATCGATACCCGCTTCTCTGATACCGGCATTGGTTGCTTCTCTAACTGCCTCCACTAATGGTTCAAATTTTGGGTCAAAACTAACAGTGAATGCACAGTCGATTATCCTACCATTCACGTGTACTCCAAAGTCAATTTTACACACATCGCTATACTAAAAGACTTTTCATAGAACAAGGCCAAAATAAATTTAAAGTGGATCCTGATGACTTGACTTAAACATCACCTAAAAACTATACAGGTTCTCATTAGAGTTTCGACAAAAGGCCTGACAGCTCTGTATTCACTTTCAAAGAAATAAGCAATATACAGCTAGTGCCGGTTAACAATTTCCATAAAACTTAGTGCAATGATAATACACGAGGTTTCAATAGACAAATAGTTTTGAAAGGAACAGTCTTGAGAAAAACAGCAACCGCAAAGGAAAACAGTACCTGTGGCCAGGCAACATGCGGTTAAAATCAAAAATTTCTAATTTTCTGATGAACAGCATCAAACAAAACTCACTTGTAACACTGTGGTGTCACCTGCATTCGGGGTGTAATGAGCAGCACAGTGGTTTAGAGAACAACCGGTAGGAAAAGAAAGTCCGGCTTCTAACTCATATTCATTAATCATCTTCCGTGAATGGGCCTCCAAACGCTCACTAAAAGAGAAATGTGCCAGACCGTTAAGAGGAAGAAGATTTCACAAACAAAAAAATCATTAGTTTTAGTTCTTCTCCCTTTTACTGGTTAAAGGTAGCCAACACAATCTTACTAAAAACAATAAATTATTGTTGACGTTCCAACAAACTTACCATATATCGATCATTGATAATCCAGGCTTCAACCAAGACTTGACAAATTTCCGCGTCTGCCGATGAGCTTCCGCTCCACGTCTAAAATCTCTGTAGATTTCTTCATATGACGTGTCTAAAGCCTATAACTGACTGTAGGCAGTTCATTTACTAAGCAAATAAAAATATAAAGAAGGAACAATGTAAAGCTGCGAAGGCACTAAATACTGATTGTAACTTATAAACAACCTTCTTCTCCTCACTCGTAAAACGATTCACAGCAGTTCGATCATCCGCATTGATTCTATACTCACAAATTTCTCCCAAAGGATATTTTCCATCAGCGAACTGCTGATCTACCGGCTTTAACTCCTTCATCTCTTCCTCATATTTTTCCCATATCGGCTTAGTATCACCAGTAGCAGAAGATACCTCATTGTTTCCTGTAATCAGTTATGAGTGAAATACACCCACAGCAAAAAAAAATGCTGTCTCTTACACAATTAGAATTAAAAATTTTAAAAAAAAGATTAAGTACCATCATTCCTCAAAAATCTAGGAAAAT